TGTATACTCATTGTTACTAACTTAAATACTGTATTTTAACTGTTGTAAGCCTACATGAATCCTTTTTAAGAAGAAAGGCAGATTAAAATATTTTAAATAAAATAAATCTCATGACTTAAATCAGAGAAATAATCCTATGCACACATTTTGGGGAGTAAGTCTCTTTGCTCTCGTTGTAGTAGTTTAGTTGTTAAGTCATATCCAACTCCATGGACCAGTGCATGCCAGGACCTCCTGTCTTCCACTGCCTCCAGGAGTTGAGTCAAATTCATGTTGGTAGCTTTGATGACACTGTCCACCCATCTCCTCCCCTGTCATGCCCTTCTCTTCTTGCCTTCACACTTTCCCAACATCAGGGTATTTTCCAGGGAGGTTTCTCTTCTCATGAGATGGCCAAAGTATTGGAGCCTCAGCTTCAGGATCTCTCCTTCCAGTGAGCACTCAGGGTTGATTTCCTTCAAATGGGTAAGTTTGTTCTCCTTGCAGTCCAGGGGACTCTCAAGAGCCTCCTCCGGCACCACAATTCAAAAGCATCAATTCCTCGGTTGTCAGCCTTCTTTATGGTCCAGCTCTCACTTCCATACATCACTATTAGAAAAACCATAGCTTTGATTATGCGGACCTTTGTTGGCAAGGTGATATCTCTGCTTTTTAAGATGTTGTCTAGGTTTGTCATCGCTTTGTCATGTCTTCTGCTTATGTTAGGTCCCTACCATTTTTGTCCTTTATCATGTCCATCTTTGCACAAAAGGTTCCTTTAATATCACCGATTTTCCTGAAAAGATCTCTGGTTTTCCTCTCCTTGCTATTCTTTGGAAGTCTGCATTCAAATTTCTGTAACTTTCCCTATCTCCCTTGCATTTTGTTTCCCTTCTCCTCTCCGCTATTTCTAAGGCCTCGTTAGACAGCCACTTTGATATCTTGCATTTCCTTTTCTTTGGGATGGTTTTTGTTGCTGCCTCCTGTACAAAGTTATGAGCCTCCATCCATAGTTCTTCAGGCACTCTGTCCACCAAATCTAGTTCCTTTAATCCGTTCTTCACTTCCACTGTACATTCATAAGGGATTTGGTTTAGATTATACCTGATTAGCCCACTGATTTTCTTACTTTCTTTAGTTTAAGCTTGAGATTTGCTATAAGAAGCTGATAATCAGAGGCACAATCAGCTCCAGGTCTTGTTTTTGCTGACTTTATAGAGCTCTATGTTTGGCTGCAGAGAACATAATCAATCTGATTTCAGTATTGTCCATCGTGTGATGCCCATGTGTAGAGTCGCCTCTTGTGTTGTTGGAAAAGAGTGTTTGTGATGACCAGCTTGTTTTCTTGACAAAACTCTATTAACCTTTGCCATGCTTTGTTTTGAACTTCAAGGCCAAACTTCCCTTTTGTTCCTTTTATCTCATTCCCTACTTTAAGTCTTCATAGAATTGGTCAATTTCAGTCTCCTCAGCACTGGTGGTTGAATTTTGAACATAACCATGTGTCATGTTCCCAGGGGGCTTCAACAGGCAAAAGTCCAATAAGCCAGTACAATATCAGAAATCCAGATACCAAAATGCCAAAGGCAAAACACATACCATAGTCAGAAGTCAAGAGTCCAAAGCCAAAGCTCCAGAGAACAAGGTCCAAGATAAGCGGGAGTGTAGATACAAACCAGAATGTTGATTTGTTGCTTCCAAAAACTTCCAAGCCTCTGGGTGCAGATTTTATAGCAACAGCAGTCAATTAAACACTTCATCCTGCTAAAACTGAGAGCTGGTTGACTTGAGGTTCCTATGGGAAGCATTAATGCAATCCTCTGCCCTTTGTGTCATGAGTCTTTGCCGAAGCTTAGCCTCACCCTGGCCACTGGGGGAGGAGAATCTGGTGGTGATTCAGCTGTCTGTGCTTCTAATTGCCCAGCATTTTCCTCAGCTGTAATTAACGCCTCAGATTCCAGATCTTCTTCGGCTCAACTCATGACACCTTGCTAACATGTGAAATGATTGTATGGTAGTTGGAACATTCTTTGACACTACCCTTCTTCGGGATTTGGATGTAGACTGATCTTTTCCAATTCTCTGGCCATTGCTGAGTTTTCCAAATTTGCTAGCATATTGAGTGTAGCACCTTAACAGCATCATCTTTTAAGATTTTGAATAGTTCAACTGGAATGCCATCATCTCCACTGGCGTTGTTGTTAGCCATACTTTCTAAGGCCCACTTGACTTCACTCTCCAGGATGTCTGGCTCAAGGTCAGCAACCACACTATCTGGGTTGTGCGAGACATCCAGATCTTTCTGGTATAATACCTCTGCGTATTCTTGCCACCTCTTCTTGATGTCTTCTCCCATTTTTGTCCTTTATCATGTCCGTCTTTGCACAAAATGTTCCTTTAACATCTCCAATTTTCTTGAACAGATCTCTGGTTTTTCCTTATCTATTCTTTTCCTCTATTTCTTTGCACTGTTCATTTAAGAATGCCCTCTTGTCTCTCCTTGCTATTCTTTGGCAGTCTTTGTTCAGTTTTCTGTAACTTTCCCTATCTCCCTTGCATTTTGTTTCCCTTCTCTGCTATTTGTAAGCCCCCGATGGACAGCCACTTTGCTTTCTTGCATTTCCTTTTCTTTTGGGTGGCTTTTGTTGCTGCCTCCTGTACAATGTTACGAGTCTCTATCCAAAGTTCTTCAGGCACTCTGTCCACCAAATCTAGTTCCTTAAATCTGTTCTTCACTTCCACTGTGTATTCATGAGGGATTTGGTTTAGATTATACCTGACTAGCCCAGTGGTTTTTCCTACTTTCTTCAGTTTAAGCTTGAGTTTTGCTATAAGAAGCTGATGATCAGAGCCACACCACAATCAGCTCCAGGTCTTGTTTTTGCTAACTATATAGAGCTTCTCCATCTTTGGCTGCAGAGAATATAATCAATCTGATTTCGGTATTGCCCATCTGGTGATGTCCATGTGTAGAGTCACCTCTTGTGTTGTTGGAAAAGAGTGTTTGTGATGACCAGTTTGTTCTTTTGACAAAACTCTATTAGCCTTTGCCCTGCTTTGTTTTGAACTCCAAGGCCAAACTTACCTGTTGTTCCTTTTATCTCTTGACTCCCTACTTTAGCATTCCAGTCCCCTAGAATGAGAAGAACATCTTTCTTTGGTGTCAGTTCTAGAAGGTTTTATAAGTCTTCACAGAATTGGTCAATTTCAGCCTCTTCAGCATCGGCAGTTGGTGCACAATCTTGGATTACTGTGATGTTGAAAGGTCTGCCTTGGATTCGTATTGACATCATTCTCTCATTTTTGAGACTGTATCCCAGTACAGCTTTTCCCACTCTTTTGTTGACTGTGAGGGCTACTGCATTTCTTCTATGAGATTCTTGCCCATAATAGTAGATATGATAATCGTCTGAATTGAATTTGCCCATTTCCGTCCTTTTTAATTCACCACCGCGATGTCAATGTTTATTCTTGCCATCTCCTGTTTGACCACATCCAGCTTCCCAAGGTTCATAGATCTTACATTCCAGGTTCCTATGCAGTAATTTTCTTTGCAGCATCGGACTTCCTTTCACTTGCAGGTGTGTCCGCAGCTGAGCGTTCTTTTGGCTTTGGCCCAACCACTTCATTAGCTCTGGAGCTACTTGTACTTGTCCTCCGCTGTTCCTCAGTAACATGTTGGACACCTTCCGACCTGAGGGGCTCATCTTCCAGCATCATATCTTTTAGCCTTTTGTTTCTGTCAATGGAGTTTTCTTGGCAAAGATACTGGAGTGGCTTGCCAGTTAATGCTCCACGTGGATTGCATTTAGTCAGAACTCTGCACTATGACCTGTCCATCTTGGGTGTCCCTGCACTGCATAGCCCATAGCTTCTCTGAATTACTCAAGCCATAAGGGTTTTTTTTGCCTTTTTTTATATTTTTATTTTTGTTCTTTATTTCTTTAAATTTTTCCTATATACACTTTTAAGTTATGCATCGGCTTTCCATGACCCCGTCTATCTCCCAATGCCTCATGTATTCTGCTCAGTAAAACAGAGTAATTTAATGTCAGTTGAAATAATCAATCAGTATCACCAGAAGTGACCACTTGTCTCAGCTCCTGCCAACCTAGCAGTTCAAAAGCATGTGAAACTGCGAGTAGATAAATAGGTGCCACCTTGGTGGGAAGATGACTACGACGTTCCGTGTCTAGTCGCACTGGCCGCGTGACCACGGAAACTATCTTCGGACAAACGCTGGCTCTATGGCTTGGAGACGGGGATGAGCACCTCGCCCTAGAATTGGACACGACTGGACTAAATGTCAAGGGGAACCTTTACTTTTACCTTACATTATGGTATCATTAAATTTCAGTGAAGCTTCATAGGTTTCAAACTATCCCTGCAGATACGCGTCTATATAGTTTCCCTGTTCCAAGGCACAACACAAGCGCCCCTGCCTCTCTCACCGCCTACAGTGGACAGAATAAGGACGAACTGTGGAAAAGGGCAAAAGGCACTCAGGAAGCGCGGCAAGGCAGAGATCAGGAGCCTGCGCGCGCTGGAGTCAGTGTCAGGACCCCACCAAGCCCATTCTCATTCTCTCTCTCTCCCTAAAAACAAGGGCTCACTGAAAAAAAACTGTAGGGGTGGACTTACGTCAGCACCAATTTCTCATTCCTTTTACTGTATATAACTTTCGTCGTTTTTAAGCATTTATTCTGGTCCTCTCACGTTGCCTTCAATTATAAGAACATGTACAGGCATTATTTTAAACCACTATATATTGGGTCCCCTCCCTCCCTCCCTCTCTCCCTCCTGTAGGTGTTACACGATTGGTTGAGAGAGGTGAAAAAAAGTGGCCGGACAGGACGCAGGGGCGCAGCGGAGCCTATCGGACGCCTGCTGACGCATCTTGTTTGAGAAAGGCCCGCGTCGGGCGCGCGCTCGCTCGCTCCCAGTGGGCAGGCCCTTAAGAGGTCCGCGTGCGCGCGCGCGCGAACTAGGATACCAGTCTAGACTCTAGAAAGGCGCAGGAGGTAGAGCGGGGAGGGAAGGACAGTGAAGGGGGTGTGTCTCGATTTTTAGACATGCGCAGGAAGTGGAAGGAAGTGTGTCTATTCGTTTGGAGAGTGACCAAGAAGAAAGAAGTGTAGAGGCTGGGCTGAACGGTGCCGAGTTTAGGGGGCGCGTGTGTTGTCTGTGTGTGAGTGCGCGCGCGCCGTGACGGGAAGGAAAAGGCGGGGCCTCCTCAGGGTGATTGACCTCCCCCTCCCCGCCTCCCGTGAGCGGCTGCCTGACTGGCGGCTCGAAGTGGACGCAACTTCCCCACGACAGAGGAGCTGTCTCTCTGTCTTGAGGCGGCGGCGGCGGCGGTGGCAGGGAGCCCGCGCAGGCTCATTGTGTGTGTGGTGGGGGGGGGGCTGCCCTGGCACAGCCCTTCCTCGCCCAGCCTGGGGCTGGTGTGGGGAGCATGAAAGTTCCGCCGCGGCACCGACACGGTGGTGGCTCTGGCGGCTTCCTCTTCCTCCAGGTCGGGCCGAGGGGCCGCTCTTCCTCACTGCGGTGAAGGGACTGCGGGGCGTCTGGCGGACGGGGCGGCGCTGGCGCTTGGGCGGCAGCTGCGGCACTTCTTCGCCCGGTCTTGAGGGAGCGCCCCTCGCTTTCCTGTTCCTCCGCAAGTGCCTCGTCGTCCTCCGTCGTCCCGCTTTCGAGGCGCCCAGAATGACCCTGTGAAGGCGGTTAATTCTGGAGCAAGCGGGGGGGGGGAGAATATCGCCCCCTCAGAGACGCTCGGCATCTTGAAGATTTCTTCTTCCTTCCTCTCTCAGAACTTGCACTGCACTAATTACTCGCCTGAGAGCTTTTAGATTATTTTTCTAAGCGCCTCAAGATGACTTAATGTTTTGTTTCGTCAGACAGGGATTTTGCCTTTGGGGTGTATATATGATTCTTTGTTCGCTCGAAAAGAAGGCAAGGGATCTCATTCCCCCCCTCTCCGTTGGGCAGATTTTTGGAAGTGAAAAGAGCCCCTTTTTTATACCTGAATTTCACGGCAACTTGGATTTACGCTTTGAGGCATTTCTTTAACCCGGCACTGAAACAACTCTCAAAGACACAGAGAAGGGCGTTTTTAAAGTTCTGCAAAGTTCCCTTGTTATAAAAATGGAGCATGGCAAGATGGATTACTTTTGTGATCAGGTACAACAGAAAGATGTGGGCCGCAGGATGCTGGTCGGCCAGGAATTTCTGGAGTATTTGAATGATCCCAGCGTTTCTACTGATCTGGAGCAGGATCAGCAGCGCCTTGATAAAGTGATGGATGAACTAACAGGATGGGTGAACTCTAGTAATTATAAGGTAAGGTCAGTTTTGCCGAATCATGTGTGTGTTACAAAGGAAGTGTATTAAATGTGGCCCTGTTTTCCTCTAGGCTGTGTTCTACATACTCTATTGCCCATTGAGTGAATCCTCTGTAAGACAATATCACTTGTGTCTCAACATTGGGTGACATGTTGAATATTTTTACAGAAGTAACAGTGTAACTTTGTATATGTTCTATGCTGATTCTGTGGAGCAAATAGCCGCCTGACCAGAAGAACTGGAGGAATCCACAGGATACAAATGTAAACATAATCAAACACAGTTTATATTCCTGTGTGTGTTTAAAAACTCAGTAGAATCAGTTTTGAGTAAATGTATACTGGAAGTTCCTGTATGTGGTTTTTGTAGAGATTTTCAGTGCCACCTGGAAATAACTTATGAGTTTTCTTTTAAGTAACCCATGTAAGTGATTTCTGCAGATCGCTGTTACACTGTTGCATGCCAACACTATGCTCAGTTATGTTGTTATTATGGCATTATTTTGTTTATACAGTTATGTGTCTTACAGAATAATCGTAATGACCACTTTTTTGTAAATGTTCTAAGTAGGAGTTTCGGGGGGGGTACCCAGGAAAGTAGTGATTGTTAACACAAGGCATAAGGAATTTTAAATTATTTTGGGACTATAGTAAAATCTGGAGGAGGGTGTTATATTGCTAGTAATTGACATGTGTTCTTCAGTAGTCATCTTGCAGTGCATTAACTGTAGCTACTTTACAGTCCTGTCATCTGGTGGCGATATTGCTCTGTAACACCAATTTCAGATGTATTGTTTCCACAAATTCCCCTAAAATGAATCTCTGTGTGTATATGCCCACCTGCATACAGTGGGCACAAACCATATGCATTATGTTTACATGTGCTACATGAATTCTTGAATACAGTTTTAGAAATAAATTGGCAGTGTTTCTCAAAATTCTGGTTAATAACTAGTGATACTACATATGTGAAAGGTAAGCAAGAAAGTGTTGAATATTCAGCTTGTAAGTACTAGCCAGAATCCAACTGATCATCCTAACTAGAGTAGATTTATTGAATCAGTAGCATTTATGTAACGGTTGAGTAATCATTCAGTAAGCGATTGAATGAGTCTACCCTAGATGGGATTATCAGTTGGATTTAAGCCTATGTGCTATGGGTTGTCAATATACTGTGCCTCCATGCTACATTGTGTGTCTGCAGTGAATAGGTTTTTTGGTGGTGTCTATACTGGGCAGTTAAGAAAGTTGAGAGAAAAAAATTGATTCACCTGAAATATGGTGCTGGAGGATACCCTGGATTGCGAGGAAGACAAACAAGTGGGTCTTAGATCAAATCAAAACTGAATGATCTCCAGAGGCAAAATGTTGAAACTGAGTCTGTCTTTGGGCACATCGTGAGAAGACGGGATTCACTGGAAAAGACAATAATGCTAGGTAAAGTGGAAGTCATCAGGAAAAGTGGAAGAGTCAAATATAAGGTGGACTGACTCCTTAAAAGAGATCATGGTCTTGAGTTTGAGTGGGGCAGCTGAGGACAGGACATTTTGGAGACTGCTTATTCATAGGGTTGGTATGAGTCGGAAGCAACTTGATGGCACATACCAACAACTATACTGTACTGGTTTGCTTACCATTAAAAGTTAGTGTTTTCTTGTATATTTAATATTGTTTCCTAAGTGGTCTCCATAATTCATCAAGCAGTATAATGGTGACAACTTTTTAGGGAACAGGAGATGAAAAAAGTGAATGGGAGGGCAAGCTGTAGGAGCAAACATAATATTGCAAATATTGACCACTTGCTGTGAGGAATTTGCATGAAACTTTGCAGATAAAGTCGCTCGGATCCTCTCTAACTTGGATGCTGTAATTGCTACAGACCCAGTGGATATAACTTTGGCCCCAGCTTGTCCTGTTTTTATTGGATACTTTTCAGTTGGTGCAGCCTGATGATGTGGACAGGATTCTTGGCGAGGTGAATGCCACCACATGTGTGCTGGACCCTTGCCCTTCCTGGCTCATAAAAGCAGAAAGAGGAGGAATGGTCGATTGGGTATGGGGAGTGGTAAATGCCTCCTTGCAGCAGGGTAGGATCCCTCCTTGATTAAAGGCGGCAGTAATAAGACCACTGTTGAAGAAGCCCTCCCTGGATCTCAGTGTACTGGATAACTACTGGCCAGTCTCAAACATCCCATTCCTGGGCAAGGTACTGGAGCGTGTGGGGGTTTCTCAGTTCCAGGGATTCCTGGAGGAAGCGTATTATCTAGGCCCATTTCAATCTGGTTTCAGGCCTGGCTATGGGACAGATACAGTTTTGGTCACCTTGATGTTCACCTTGACCTATGCCGGGAATTGGACAGGGGGAGTGTGTCCCTGTTGATTAAAGGACTGCTGGACCTCTCAGCAGTTTTCAATATCATTGACCATGGTATCCTTCTGGGCCGTCTCTCTGGGATGGGACTTGGAGGCACTGTTTTACAGTGGCAGTCCTTCCTGGATTGGAGAACTCAGAAGGTGGTGCTGGGTGACTCCTGCTCAACGTCCTGGCCGTTGGCCTGTGGCATTCCTCAGGGTTCTGCTTTGTCACCCTTGCTTTTTAACATCTAGTACATAAAACCATTGGGAGAAATTGTCTGGAATTTTGGGGTTGGGTGTCATCAGTATACGGCTGACACCCAATTCTATTTCTTCTTTCCACCTAATTTCAGGGAAGCTGTCTTGACTCTGAACCTGTGCTTGGCATCAGTAATGGGCTGGATGAGGGCAAACAAACTGAAACTTAATCCAGACAAGACAGAGGTGCTCCTGATTAGTCGGAAAGCAGATGAAGGAATAGGGATACTACCTGTGCTGGATGGGGTTACACTCCCCTGGAAAACTCAGGTCCGCAGCTTGGGTGTACTCCTGGATTCATCTCTAAGCTTGGATGCCCAGGTCTCGGCAATGGCCAGGAGTACATTTGCACAACTAAAGTTTGTGCGCCAGCTGTACATGTTCCTTGAGATGTCGGATTTGGCTACAGTGACACATGCCTTAGTTATATCTCATTTGGATTACTGTAACACAGTCTGTGTGGGGCTGCCTTTGAAGATAGTTCAGAAACTTCAGTTGGTGCAAAACTCTGCAGCCCAACTACAGGGAGCATATAATACGTCTGTTACAAGAACTGCATTGGCTACCAGTCCGTTTTTGAGCCCAATTCAAAGTGCTGGTCATTATTTATAAAGCCCCATGCAGCTTGGGTCCAGTCTACCTGAAGGACTGTTTCTCCCTATATGCACCTTTTCAGTGATTGAGATCAGCAGAGGATACTCCCCTCTAGGTCCCATAGCCAGCACAAGAACAGCTAATGGGAACACAGGACAGGGCCTTCTCTGTGGTAGCTCCCAGGCTATGGAACACATACTCTCGGGAGATCAGGATGGCTCCTTCCCTTTTATCCTTTCGAAAAAAGCTAAAGACCCATCTCTTCAGGCAGGCTTTTAACAGTTATAACTGAATCCTTGAACCCTATTTTAAAAGATAATTTTAATCTTTCTCATGTTTTCATGTTTTAGTTTTTTAATTTTAATTTAGTCCATACATTGTTTAATTTGTCTTTTAATACAGTGGTGCCTCGCTTAACGATTGCTTCGTACAACGATAAATGCACTTAACGATGGCTTTTTCGGAGCGATCTTGCGCTTCACTTAATGATTTTCCCTATGGCCGATTTTTGCTTAACGATTTCGGGACCATGCTTCGCTTAACGATGACAGTTTTAGGTCCCCTTGTTTCGCTTAACGTTTTTTTTACAGCCCCATTTTTGCTATTTTTAAAATATTCTAAAATGTTTAAAAATGTTTAAAATGCGTGGAATCGTTAGTGCACCTAATAAAACCTTCGTTAACTTAATTTGGCTTTGTTCTGAGTCTTTTTGAATTTTTGTGAATTTTTTCCCCCATTGAAAAGGCTTCAATGCATTTCAATGGGTTTCGCTTAACGTTTTTTCCTATGGGGATTTTTGCTTAAGGATGGTAATCCGTTCCAATTGGAACGGATTATCCGGTTTTCAATGCATCTCTATGGGAAATAGTGTTTCGCTTAACGATGTTCTCATATAGCAATTTTTTTTGAACCAATTAAAATCGTTAAGCAAGGCATCACTGTATTTAACTTATTGTGTTTTTAATTGTGTGAATTTTAATGTTGTGAGCCACTTTGGGTCCCTTGTTGGGAGAAATGTGGCATCATCAACATAACAGTAACAATACCAGTAACAACAGCAACAACAATAACAATAACTGTGTAATGGAAATAATAGAGAAGTGCTCATTGCTCAAAGCAATCATTTTAAAGTACTACATTTGGATTCTCAAGGTTGGTGTCATTTAGTCGTGTCCGACTCTTCGTGATGGACCAGAGTACGCCAGGCTCTCTCCTGTCTTCCACTGCCTCCTGGAGTTGGGTCAAATTCACGTTGGTAGCTTTGGTGACACTTTCCACCCATCACTTCCTCTGTCGTCCCCTTCTCCTCTTGCCCTCACACTTTCCCAACATCAAAGTCTTTTCCAAGGAGTCTTCTCTTCTCATGAGATTGCCAAAGAATTGGAGCCTCAGCTTCAGGATCTCTCCTTCCAGTGAGCACTCAGGGTTGATTTCCTTTAGAATTGATAGGTTTGTTCTCCTTGCAGTCCAGAGGACTCTCAAGAGCCTCCTTCAGCACCACAGTTCAAAAGCATCAATTCTTCGGCAGTCAGCCTTCTTTATGGTTCAGCTCTCACTTCCATACATCACTACAGGAAAAACCATAGCTTTGACCATGCATACTTTTGTTGGCAAGGTGATGTCTCTGGTTTTTAAGATGCTGTCTTGGTTTGTCATGGCTTTCCTCCCTAGAAGCAGGTGTCTTTTAATTTTGTGGCTGCTGTCACCATCTGCAGTGATCATGGAGCCCAAGAAGGTAAACCAGGGGTCTCAAACATGTGGCCTGGGGGCCATTTGTGGCCCTCTGGATGA